TCATGATCGTCACCTCTATGCGCGCTGGCGAAGGGGTTATCGGCTACGGTAAGGAACATGCGGCTGCGGTAAGGAACATGCACATACTCAACACGTCTGCCACTGTCAACCGGCCTGACCTTGTGCGCACTTTAGTTCGACACCGACGGTAAATGCGAAACTCGAAGAAGTATTGGTCAAGGTACAGTAAGCTACCAGCTGCATATTCATAGCTAACACACCTGTACTGGACAACCGTCTCGACCTTGCACACTGTATTTTGTTCGACACCGACGGTAAATGCGCAGAGACCGCAAGTGCACTGCAACGATAGCTGTACACTGTCCTGGCTGGACACTTCGTGGTGTTTGTCACCGCAACATGTGCATCATCTGGCGTAAGTTCGGTGTGCCTGAACGCTGCCGCTAAGTGCGGCGTGCTAAGTACGGTCAGTGTTGCTGATGTTGAAGTGGATTCGCCAGAAACCAAGACAAGAACAGCGAACAAGCAGAATCTGCGTACTGCCGAGGATCCCAAGTGCTGGCACCACCGAAACCACAGAAGACACGGCAAGCGCTGAGATCAGTGTGTGTCCGTACGTACCGCGCTGCATTCGACCGTCACTGCCTCATGTATAGTGCTGAAAGTCTGGAGTGCTAACGTCTTGAAGTACACGTTTGCATTACTAGATGTCGAAGCGCCCGATGCCTACACTATCTGCCTATCTGGACTCACGGCATATACGCGGTCGCTGCGTTGGAAGTTGCTCGGCGGTAAGGTCGCCGCCACCCCCACGCCCACACAAGCCAAGTTCGCTACAGAGACCTCGATCATGTGAAACAAATTTGGTTCAAACGACAGGACTCCTGGTGCTACGGAGCCATCCTTCTCGACTACTGGGTTTCTTCAGTACGGTGCGTCCAACAAGATCCCTACCGTGGGGGCTTATAACTTTATACACTCTAATTGAGCATGTACAGGTCGTCAACGACTGTCTGCTTGATGATACACAAGTCGAGGTCTGCGTGCAAGCTGGGTAAGCTGGAGCTGACACTGCAAAGGCGACCAGCGGAGCTCTGAATTCCATCACCTGTGACGTGTATATAGCTGCTCCATGCTGTCGACAACACGGACACCACGCTCATATTGTGTCACTACAAGGACGCGGCAACGTGTCCATGCTGCATGTTGACGTTCATTGGGCGAGCAACGCGTCGAGCGTGCCTGAATCAGATGGTAAAGGTGCATGTAGTGACGTGCGAGTATATTGTCGGTGCGAAGAACTCACGCGTATTCACACTCGTGTTGTGTTCGTAGATGCACAAGAGCTCAATATGTGTTGATTTAGGTCGAGAAGTCCATCCCAACGAGCATGACAGTTGTATTAAGGTACTTTGTATGTATCCTTTTCCAGCAGAAAGACGGCTGTAGCTAATCATATATATTTTACTGTGCTCTTGCGCGCAGGCTGCTCGATGTTGCTGGTGATGCGTTGGCGACGCAGATCGCAATGCCGCGCCTTGCTAACTCCCCGTGGATGGCGTGTTTAATGGCAATAACCACTGCCGGAGCGGTCGTCTCCTCCGTATCGCTACTATCGCAGCTAGAATCAGACGGAGACGTCGCAGCTGACCTGCGTACGTGCCACGAAAGCGGGAATCGCGACGTGAGAGGTCCAAACTCACGCTTCCGAAAGCGTCATTCTTGACATTCCCTGCGATAGTACTTACGTCTTTTCATTATATATTCTAGGAGGGTTTGTACTAAAGTAGGCAAGCAAACACGTGCATGGACCACACTGCGTTAAGTTCTTGTGATTAGCGTGGACTACACTGCGTGGTGAATTTGATGTATGGTACCAGTTTTTGGTTTCTTGCAAAGCCAAGAAATCGTCGTACGACCATCTGCCGGTTCTGTCCGTGGAGCGCTACTTTCTGGCGAATCTCGTTCTACAGCATGCTGTGCGCAAGCTTTGACGGCGTGAGGTCGGATGCGGATGTTTTGCTTGCTGCTGTGTGGTGCTAATGTTGTGCGTGTGCTCTCACGGCGAATGATCATGTAAAATAGTAAGCAGGTGTGCGCTCAATGGCGTCTGATTTGTGCAGGTCAAGAGCGTGCGTGCAAGGACGTGTGTGCAAGAACCTATCTCCGCGATGACAAGTGCCCGTCCACTGACGTCGTATGCCACGTCTGGGAGCACGAGACTGGCGTGGATGTCGTTAGATGGTATTGTAGCGCTGCGCACGGATATATGCTGCCTGCAACGTACTTATGGTCATCCGGAGTGCTACGGTATGATGTTCGTGGCTGCATCGACTGAGTGCGAGCACTATCTTATTGCTGAAGCACTCGATAGTTTCTTCTAGTTTACTTAGATGAGCTTCAACACTACGGGTGATACTTCTTTGTTTATATGTAATATTGCTTTTTACTCATAACTACTACGCGTTTGGCAGATACCTTCGTCGGTACCCGTGATGGCATGCTCTACCCGATGCATCATCATCAACTAGGTGAGCATGTGAAAGGATACTTTGTCGCACTCCTTTTCTTCCAGCCCATTCGATATCGATATGCATGACCAACAACAATGTAAGCCTCAGTGCGCGTAGGCTTCCCCTTGCCTCGTGACCGAATAGATGTGGTGTGTTACGGGATCTTGGTGCGTCCAAGACTAGTACTGGCTCGTCGCCGGCAAGTTCGAGACTGCCGGAGACGGAGGGCGTCTTGGTCGGCATGCTGGAGCAAACGCTTAGATGATGTCTGCGTGTGGCATTTTGGGTTGAGCTGCGCATCTGATCCGGAGCTTGGACTACTCGCGCGACTTCGAGTGCAGATCAGAGCTGGTGGTTGTGATTGTCTTCCGAATCAAAGCTCGAGCGATTTGATGATGCATTGCTCGCAGATGAGGGGAACTGTTTACGTGCTCAGCTGTGGACTGATAAGTGCCATAGCTCACAGTGAGCGAATGCGTCTCCACAAGCTCTGTGAACCGCTCCTTGGATACATTGTGTGCTGTAAGACCTACAACTGAGCCGAATGGTAACTTATCATCGCCGTTGCCGTACATTTACGGCAGTTTAAGTGAGGCCGAAGATGTTTGGTCGCCCACTTGCTCTAAATTACGCTGATAGCACTTTCACCCAGGGCCCCCGAAAAAAAAATTGACGACACAGTAATTTCAATAAATAAGCAGACATTATTTATGTTGTCACCCTAAACTAGGCTCGTGCATAATTTATGGTGGCTGCATATTACATACGGTAATTTATGCTACAGTTTCCTGAAGTTATCTGCAGCAGTCAACGAACCAGTCGTTTTGTTGCCGAATCGGCTGATCTCAGCAGACTCAATTTCTTTTCTCTCACTTCCCACTTTAGAAATGATTCTCTTCCTGCGCGAAAATGCTGGTTACTGGGACGCACAAACACTTGACACAGCAACTCGAGCGTAGATACCTGTTATTGATTCAATAAACCTTGGTTATTGCAGCAGTAACTCAATTATTTATTGGTCTTCTAGCTAAAGCATCATAACGTATTGCCAACATACAGGCTAGCTTCGCGATAATTTATCGTGAAGATGCTACTACGATAAATAACAATATCATTTTCGGACCCCCTGCTTTCACCCTCGCTGCTGGGAAGACCAACGTCAGCTTGAAGCACCTCGAGCAAGATTGCTACTACTGTGGGCGACGGTGAGTGTTTACAACACGGTAACGTCCCTCTGCCGGTCTGTAGACGCGATGCATATTGACGCCGTGATGTCCCTGCGGAGTAGCGGGCTCCTGAATGTGAGTCTCTTTTCACTGGATCCGATTGGCACCGGCTGCTTCCTTTACTGCAGCTCGGTGTATTAGAGTTTGGGCATCAGGCATTTCCGAAATTGCACCATTGCACCATGAGCTCTGTTTCACATCGACAGCAGTCCGAGTTTCATGAGCCGATCGAGATGGCGTTAGCGTCTTCAAATATATTGGTAGTGACGACCTCTGTGGGCAGGATTTGATATTTTCTTGGCTCTAATAAACACCGAGCTACTACTGAGCTTTAATAGTAGCAAGTTGTTTGTTGAACGAAGACAACTAGTACTACTACACTGTATGAAGCTTTTATATTATCCCACTAATACGCAAAAAATATAATTTATTAAATTAGCCCTTGACCAATTAGTACTATCTTACTAGCTTTTTTATTATCAGAAAATCGACCGATAAGTGCTTTTGGGCAACGCATTCGAGTATTTTCATAGCTAAATCACGCTATCTTGCTTCAAGTCAGAAGATGAAATTCGTCATGAGTGGTTTTGGCGATAAGTGAAGCTCACCGTGAGTCGCATGGGTGCTAGTAGTCACACGCAGGAACGGTTCGTCGCACAGGACCGAAGCACGGGTCATTTCGTCTGCCCCAACGATTGCTCATTCTGTCTTTTACCAGAAATCCAAGATCCTCCTTTTCTCGTCGTTTGGAAAGCAACCCCTGTATGCCGTGGAGCTCACCGCACACTCAGCGCTTGGAGGTGTCATAGCGTTTTTGCGGCTCTACCAGCGGAAGCTGATGACTTTTCTTCTCGGTTGGTCTGAATTGGCCGCTGCCCAGATTTTAGACCTTGACGCGGATGATTGAGATAGTCGACAATATTACAAGTCTATATTCAACAATACTTTCACATAAGAAGTGCTTCGTTTCATCTCGCTAGTTACTTGAGTACATGTAGTAGTTTTGTAGGCGGTGATACTGTTCTAATACAGTCGTGGACACCTTGTCCTTGCGTCTCCGACTCCACTTCCTGTCTGCGCATCGCCGGTGGCTCCGGCTGCTAAACGTCACTTGACGAGGGACACCTTCATATTGGTAGGACTCGAGTTCTAAAGCAATACAATCTTCACACACCTTTGGGTACCGCCCTTGGGTACTGTAGTGTCCAAAGCCTATTATCTCTGTCTCGGACAGCATCTATCTACTGACGAACCTTTCCTCCTTACCCCCCATCACACACCCCACGCCATACACGTCTGTCTAGTAGACGGTTTCCGGAAGAAGAAAGCGCTTCCCGATCTTGCGGTTGTACTCCAACACTTGGGCACGCACCTTCCGCTTCTCCATGAGTTTGTAGCGAGAGCTAGCGAGAAGCACCGCGTTCGGGTTCTCCGAAATGAGATCCGTAAAGACGCCGTACTTCTCCGTCAGAGCGCGGATCTTCTTCAGATGCTTCTCCTGCAGCTGCAGCCCCAGCGCGTCTGCGTCTTCCAGAGTCGTGAGCGCGCGACGCAGCAAGCGTTTCCTGGCGTAATGGTCCACCAGCAAGCCGAATGTCACCTCGTCCGCCTCCACATCTCCGCTCTCGATCTCCGAACGCACACGCTCCAGCAACTGCTCCGCTTGAGTCGTCCGCTTCGCGCGCACGTACATCTGCATCATACTACGGTACGTGAACTTGTTGGGCTTGAGCTCGAACTTGGAGAACGTCTCGTCCATGAAGACTTCGGCCGAGCGAAGACGCAGCGCATTCGTGTACACGCCCAGCATCGAGTTCAACGTCGTCCGAGACGGCTTGAGACTCTTCTCGAAGGTCATTTCATGGAACCGAACCTCCGCACGCTTGATGTTGAGCGTCTGGAACTGGCCAAA